AAAATATTTATTCATTATAAATTTAATTATATTAAGAAAAATGAGGTAGTTTGTGACTCATCATAAAAATAAAAAAATAGAAATGATAAAATAAAAATATACAATTAATTTTTGAATAGAGAAATAATTAAAAATATAAATATAAATAAATAAATAAATTATGAAATAAAAATAAAAAATTATAAACACTAAATTATGATATCCTTTTATAATTATGGCGATAAATAAAATGTATAAAAATAGATAAGAATCTAGTAATAATGATTGTGGAGGTAGGATTCATTTAACTATATTAGAAGTCGATGTTGGAGTCCGAGGAGCCTTCAATTTCAAAAAGGCACGACCGAACAAAGCAGCAACATAAAGGACAAAGTTGGTGTTACTGTTATTGTTGTTAGTGTTTGTGCTGAGTCTCAAAGAGGTCCCTCTTTGGAGCCCATGGTTGCTCTCTCTTCCGTGGAGTTCAACCACTGCTCCAACGGCCTCCTTCTCTCTCCTCAGACCCACCCTTTTCCGGATTTTAAGGTTTCTCTTTGCAACCGGTGAGTCCTCTTTGCTGTGCTTGGATCTGGGGTTGTCTGGTTTTGTGTGGACTCTGATGGGTTTGTGTTGTTTTCTCTTGTTCTGTTGTTTCCGAGTTGTTTTGCCTTCTGGGGTCGCTCTTTTGTCGTTTTGGAGTTTATTGAGGATCGTTTGTGTCTGTTATGAGGTGATACGGGTTGGAATTTTCTGCTGGTAGCATAAAAAATGTTTTTTTTATTTGCTTTTTCAGTTGGGTTTGTGGTGGGTATGTGCTGGTTCTAGAAGAATATTTCACCACTTGTTTTTGTGGAATTTGAAGCTGGGGAAGGTTGACTCTTCAAATTATTGTGAATTGTGATCTGAGTCGTGTGATTACTGTTAGAGGGGGTTGTTTGCTATGAACATGTTTAGTTTTTTATTTAATTTTTTTTTTATTGTGAAGTGGTTGATGTGAGTCTCATTGTTACTGTTTTGCAGATCAGGTGATTTGGGACTTGGGAGAAGGTAGAGAAGTGGTCCTGAGTTCTGACTGGTTCGGATTTAAGGTATCGTGTGCCGTACGTTGTGTTTTTTCTTTGCCAAATTCCAACCACGTTAAGCTTCTTCAAAGACTTTGACTCTCAAATGGAGGGTTTTGGTGTGTAAGTGAGAAAAATACAAATAAAAAAAATCAAAGTTTGATATTTGTGTTTTGTTTTCCCAAAGAGGGTGGTGTTGTCTCCTGAACCACAAGTTTCAACGATTCAACTAGAGTTTTGTTGGGGTGAGTGAATCGGATAGTTACTTATATTTCTAGGTTTGTTGAGGAGGGACGGAATTGGTATGGCTGTTGCCAATAGCAACAGCAGCAATGAACCTTGTACTTCATACAATTGTTACAAAGTAGCAGGTTTGACTGAGACCATATTAGACACAAATCATGTATATAATTTAAAAGATCGGTACATTCTCGGCGAGCAATTGGGTTGGGGGCAGTTTGGTGTCATAAGAGCATGTTCCGACAAGTTGACAGGAGAGGTTTTGGCCTGCAAATCAATTGCGAAAGATAGGTTGGTTACTTTGGATGATTTGAGGAGTGTGAAGCTTGAGATAGAGATAATGGCTAGGCTATCTGGGCACCCCAATGTTGTGGATCTCAAAGCAGTTTATGAAGAGGAAGGTTTTGTTCACTTGGTGATGGAGCTTTGTGCTGGAGGGGAGCTGTTTCACAGATTAGAGAAGAACGGGTGGTTTTTAGAATCTGAAGCCAGGGTTCTCTTTAGGCACCTAATGCAGGTGGTTTTGTATTGTCATGAGAATGGGGTTGTTCATAGAGATTTGAAGCCTGAGAACATTCTCTTAGCAACAAGATCCTCCTCATCTCCTATTAAATTGGCAGATTTTGGACTTGCAACATACATCAAGCCTGGTACTTATACTTTCTTTGCTTCCTTTGCACTTGGTGGCTTTCTTTAATCCTTTCAATTTTGGTTACTGCTATGAATGTGTGTGGTGTTCATCTTTAAGTATTGGGGTTTGTTTAAGCAGGTCAGAGTTTGCACGGGTTAGTTGGGAGTCCATTTTATATAGCTCCAGAGGTACTGGCTGGTGCATATAACCAGGCTGCTGATGTGTGGAGTGCAGGTGTTATTCTTTACATTCTGTTGAGCGGAATGCCTCCGTTTTGGGGGAAGACCAAATCACACATTTTTGAAGCTGTTAAAGCTGCTTCCCTGAAGTTTCCTTTGGAACCTTGGGATCGCGTTTCTGAATCAGCTAAGGATTTGATCAAGGGAATGTTGTGCACTGATCCTTCTCGAAGGCTCACTGCACGAGAGGTTTTAGGTAAGTTTACTTCTTTATGTAGCTATGTCTATGAGCTGAAGCTATTTTATGTAGATTCAATATTGGGGTCATGAGAGCTTTTTTAGCCAAGCAGGATAATGACAGTTCAACTGAGATATAGATTAATATGAAAAAATTGAACATAAAAAGATCATTGCTATCTATTGAATGCATAACTTAAGTGATGCATTAAGAACATGCAAATTCTGCCTATTGAACCAATAGTCTGACAGTTTTAAACATTTAGATCATGGCAAATGGCTCAGCAATAAAGTTATGCCATAACACCCCAAAGAGAAATAAGACAATACACTCCCTAAAACCAAAAGCTATTACAATTAAGGGGTTATTTAAGGTATGAAATCCATCATACTATGTCATTTATGGCGCGTGTGTTCAAAACTATTATCTAAATCAATAAGAAAAGAAAGAAATAAAAAGAATCTAATGAATATGTATTCCTAATCTTCATCTGAACTTTCCCTTTCTAGATCATTGCTGGATGGAGGACAACCAAACAAATCCCGAACAACTAAGTGAACATAAAATCCAAAGTTGTGAAGAAGGCAATATTGGCAGCAGCTCATTCTCTGCCTCTTTTATGTCCAGGAATCAGGACATCAGCTTTGGCGCTGGCTCACCAACTTGTGATGCTCAATCACCTACGTTCACATGCAGATCATCATTTTCATCTTTTTTGGTGGAACCAGTCACTCCATTTCTAGTTTCTGGTGGGTTTTCATTCAAGAGTGTGGGCGATTCCACTTGTTTGGAATTTTCTTCTCCTGTTCCCTCGGTGCTTAGCTTTTCATTCCTCAGCCCCACTTCTGTTGTTGAGCAAAAGAGTTGTAAATTAGAGTGCTCAGCTAACATGTCAGATGTAAATGCAATTGCTGGAGGTATATGCATTAAACTTTTTCTATTCTAATTCTAATCATCTTTATAATCTCTTTACTCCTTGGTCTGATCTAGTTTGCAATTTTTCACAGAAGCAAACTTGGGAAAGTTGCTAGTGCTACAAGATTCTCCCCTTTGCATTGGACGCGAAGTTAATGAAACGGATCGCAAGCCTGTAGATGCTAAAAGGGCAAGTGGAATGAATGGACATAGGATGCTGGGAATCCACAGCAAGAGAAACAGGACAATTGGACTTGGTGAATGTGAGCAACTTGACCTTGTGGTGACTGAATCAGTCATCCGTTGGTCATCGTGCACTCAGCTACCTACATCTTTGAGATCATCTCTTGTCTGCTAAGCGGAAAGAAGACTCAGATTGCTTCATGATATGTCCAAATTTCAGCATTCTTGTGCAAATTTTGCTCAGCTAACACGTTGTATATGTTTTCCTCATTTGCATTGGTGTTGATGATAACTGTCTTCTGGCTGGTGCAAGATTTTGTTTAGTTTTGGTAGTGGTTTAATGGTGTGTGTCTGATAGAGAAGTTCTGCTATACTAATTGCTCACTTTCTTGTTTTTCCTTCTCATGTTACGTGCCTTGAGTGAGTAAAGGCACTCATTCTGCCTGGTTTGTAAATGAAGTTGATCTTGATGTTTGCTGCTGTTATCTTAACCTGATGTTTCTGTTGCACTTCTTTTCTAGCGTGCCAAGATATTAGTATTATTGTGTTTGGTTTAGTTTATGAGTTTAATCTTGATGTACAATGGATGTAGGTTGATTAAGCAAATATCTTATTTTACTTTACTGAATCACACATTATCACATTACATTTAAACAATCCATAAGCAACTTACTATACTTTTATTTCAATGATAAGTTTAGTAATTCTTACTCAAACTTTTTCTGAATGATTTACTGGTTTTTCCTCCTCTTATTAATTTTGATGGTGTAAAAATAATTTTTTCTTTATAAGCTATCGTATCTTATATAATAAGATACAAATCTTAAATTTAAGATACCTTTTGTGTCACATAAGCTGGTTCCAATGGAAAAAAATAAAAAAAATAAAACAAAGTTGCTTAAACACAAGAACAAGATAGTAGCAAGATAGACACTCTTATAAACTAAGCTGTACCAAGTAAATGTTGATAATTTTCATGACTATTAATGAACTCTAGTTCAATTAATTCATTTCCATGTCCTGAGTGTGACAAGTGTTGGGTTGCACCTTGCCTTTAAATTTTATACATTATTTATTTATTTATTGTACACTGTGTTGTGTCGAAATAGTTTATGGACCAGAAGCAGCCCTAGTAGAATTGAATGTGTTGAACCACTAAGCCAGCTGGTGATGGTTGTAATGAATTGTCCGTGACATCTCAACTCAACAATGATTAATCGTTGTACATAGCCATATAAGGAGGGTGGGTGGGTTGGTTTGTCATCATTTATTAGGCCAAAAGTCAATGCCATTTTTTATATATTATATTATGAGTTAATCACCTATATATTATAGGTGTAAAGTTTTTTTATACGGATAACTAATTATATATTTTAATTATGTCATGTCACTATTAAAAATAAATGTGTTTATAGTGACATGATACAATTAAAAAATATAATTGGTTATCAGTGTAAAAGAATATTATATTGACAGTATATAGGTGATTAACTCTTATATTATTATAAATGATACTATATGTATTAAAGTATGGATGGAATGATTATGGCAACCTTGAAGACATGGCGATTCCAACACTTTTTTAGAATATTATTTTAGTGGTCATGTTTTCATTTGATCTAGTACTTCACTACTGTTTTTATTGAACGTGACATGTATGCACAAGTTATGGTTGTTACCAATGTTACGTACATTTCAAGATAAATCCATATGGATCCGTATAAGGCAAATGGTATGGTAGCTTGGTGATTTTTAACGAATTAAAGAAAGAATCTTCTCGATGTATTGCAAGATTTTTTACATCCAAAATATAAAACTACGACATTACGAGTATAAGAGATCACAACATGAGGAATTTTATGAATATTTTATTAAATTTATTACTGATGAGTGAAGTATTTAGTCATCGAATGAGTTTGAATTTGGACTTAAGTATTTGTAAAAAAAATTGAAAAAAATGATGGAATAATCATATAGAATTTGAACATTAAAATTTAATTTTAATTTATTTTTTGTTGGTGGGAATCAAACTTGATATAACAAAGATTATAATACTCATACCCTTTGTTTTTATTTATTTATTTTTATTTTTTTATAAGCATAGTATTGGTAACGAGTATATTAAAAGTAAAGAATTGTGAATGTACACATGATGAGTATTCTCCTTCTAAAAAAATATTTCATACCCAAATATCAAAATTTAAACTTTAGACAATTTGATTAAGTTAGACCATATACTCTATTCAATCAATTAAATCAGACTATTTTAGTTTATGTTTGTTTTGGCATTTGCAGTAGACAAATATACGTTTATTTGAATGCATGCTTCTCTGTTTGAAAGAATTAAAACGTGTATGAGTGATAATATAAACAATCTCTTAGTAAATTTAATTCTAACTTACCATCGTTATCTATAAGCATTTAAATATGATATATAATGTTAAATTTATATGACTAGTTGGATAAATAGAGTATATGTTTATTTTGAAAGCTTTAAGTATGTATTTGAATTTTGTCAATTTGATTTAAAATATATTAACTAAAGAAAAAAGGTGTGTGCTGGTATAAAAAATTCAAAATAGAGTAATGCCCACCAGAAAGTAATAGAAGAAAGATAAGCGATAAATGTAATAGATATATGGTATAAAAGAAAAGAGAGAAAAATAAATAAGGAGTGCCAAATGAGTGTGTGTAATATTTGGTTTCCCATGTATGCTGTATCAATGTTATTTGAAGAAGAAGAAAAACTTTAAAATTTTAATTAAATTATATATCACACGTTTAATTAATGTTTTTTATATTAATTTTAAAGTTAATTTGAATATTAAAATGAAAATTTTGTTTTATTAGTTTATAAAAGGATATGACAATATTTTATTTAATTAAAATGATAGAAATAATAATAAATACTTATTAGATATAAAATCACAATTACTTCTTCACATAAGATATGGATGATTTTTAAAATTTGAATATGTTGATGTATATAAAATAATGTTACACTAAGAAAAAAAAATTATATAATAATCCATATAATATTATTTTTGTGTCTATTTCTCTCTATCATTAATAATATATTTCTGTAAAATAAATTTAATAATAAAAGAAATAGATAAAAAATATATTTTACAAATTGTTATACGGGAATATATATCACACTACAAATGATCACTTATCTGTTCTATCTATAATTCTACGATTTTAACAACTTTGGAGAAACAACCATTTTTTATTAATAATTTTTGAAAAGTAAAATTAACGTAGGCACATTTATTACTTCGTATCATATCACATCATGGGTTGCAAAATTCTATAAATTATGAAAGAAAAAAAAAAGAAAAAAAAATGAAAGAGCAAAAGGGTCTTGCACCACGAGTGTAAAGTACAAAATCAACTCTTTGAGAGTGAGGGCCTAATCGATTTGGTGATGTGAAAGATGTTACTCCACTAGCCAATACCATAACACTACACAACCATTAATAATGTTAATTGTTAACTATGATACCCTCGTTTCTGGCCAGACAGGGAAACACCTCAAAGTTAATGTCTGCTTTGTCTAAACTTCACACATGATTCTGTCCCTGGAACTCTACCGTCACATCTTTTGGTATGACACAGTGAAATGAGACCAAAAAGAAAATAATTTTTATAAGTTGGTGAGAAGATTTTATACTTCTTTATTAAAAAAAATTGAGATATTCTTTAATTTATAATTAATTCTTTTGAGGTATAATTCGGTGCAACTGTCTCAAATATACTTAGAATTATTGTACAATTTTTTTTTTATAAATCCTAAATTCTAAACTTTTTATCTATTTATTATAAAAATATTCTTTGGTTTATAATTAATTTTTTGAGGTATAATTTGATGCAAGTGTCTCAAATATTCTTAGAATTATTGTCCAATCTTTTTGGTAGGCTTTTTGATCAAAGTGGGGTTGTTTGAAAAGTTTATTACTAAATGAGGCTGTTTTGAAAGTATTTACGCCTTAAGGGCTGTTTATAACGGTGTCGCTATGACCCATAGCGACACCAATGACACGTGACATTTTTTAACTCCAGAGAAGCTATGAAAGCCATATTCACAAAGTTGGTGCAGCCTATAACGACACTAAACAGTTTGAATGAAGTCGCTATAGCCAATAGCGCCTCATATTTTAAACTTAAAGAAATAAAAACGAAAAAATATATTAAATAAAGAAAATAATAAAAAAATAAGTTTATAAATAATAATTAAAATTTATATAATAATATAAAAAAAATAATATAGTTAATAGTGTCACCCATTTAAAAATTAAAAAACATAAATAAAAAAATAAAATATATAAAATATATAGAAATAATAGAAAATATAAATATATAAAACAGAAATTTAAAAATAGAATTTGAAAAAAGTTAATAATATAAATAAGAATAAAAGAAAATAAAATAAATAATTTATTGAAGTTAAATAAATTTTTATAATAACAGAAATATAAAATTAATATTTGAAATAAATTGATAATATAAATTTAAAAAGAAAAGAAAAAAAAAATCAAGTCGCTATGACTTATAGCGAAATTTTGGCGCTATAGGCCATAGCGCCTGGTGAGGCAATAATGATGTGTGATTTATCCAGCAGGTTAACAACATTTATTTTCATTATCCAGCAGGTTAATAATATTTATTTTCATTATTCAGCATGTTAACAACATTTATTTATCTACCAGGTTAACAACAGCTTATGTTATTAAAACTGCCACAAGATAAGTGATGACCAACATCTTAACAAGCACATCCACTCGTAATTAAATTCAAATAGTTTAATTAGAATGAATTGAAACGTTAAATTTTTTTATCCAGCAAATCTATCAGCATTTATTTTCATTTTATTTTAAATACTTATTTTCATATTTTTATTTTATTTTAAATATTTTTTTGTCAGTTATTTTTTAAATTAACATATAAAAAAATCTTAATAAACTTAAACTACAAAATTTAATTAAAACTATACAAATAATTATTTTTAATTAAATTTATAAATAAAAACTGAAAATATAAATTTAATTAAATTAAACAAAAAACTGAAAATATAAATTTAATTAAATTTATTTATTTGCGTAGTTTTTATTAAAAATACAAAAAAGAATATTTAAAATAAAATAAAAATATTAAAATAAAAAAAGTAGTGTTGTTATGGCTCATAGCAACATTGTGTCGCTATGGCCCATAACGCCTTTAAATAAAATATTATTTTAATAATAAAAAATATATATTAATTAAATTTTTTAAATGGTGATGTAGTCTATAACTACTTTGCAAAAGTCGCTATAGTCTATAACGATTTTTATTGGCTAAATTTTAGCCGTCTGTAATTACAAAAAAAAATAATACACGTGTTACTGGTGTCGCTATGGGTCATAGCGATACCGTTATAAAATACCCCAAAAGTGTAAATAGTTTCAAAACAGCCCCATTTATATAAATAATTTTAAAAAATACCCCAAATTCGTGACTCACCGCTTTTGGTGACATC